TTGATGGATACGACAGTTTTTTGTGTTGATAAGACTGATTGTTAGGTCCGCCTGCAGCTTTATATGGAACAACCACTGGGATCCTCACGCCTTTCAGTCCTTTCTGGCTGACCTAACCTGATAAATCTAAAATAAGCTTCATGTGACTCATGATGGTGCTAAAGCAAACAATGTGAGTCACCGTTAAAAAGTATTAAACGCTGCCATGTTTAAAACTCGGAAACAGCACGTGGGAATCATAAGCAAAAATAGTGAGTCATCACAGACTTACTATGTGAAGTATAACATTAAACTTGGTCAAAACTCAAATACTGGATTACTAATAGGAAGTACTCATTGTAATCTCTGATGTCTGTTGACATTGCTGATTCATCACTATTGCAGAGAACAGAAAAGTACGCCTTAGCAGTCTTTAAATCTTGCTTTTGGCTGGTATCCTAAATCTCTCTTACTTCACCCTACAGCCTGGCTGACATCCCTACAGCCTGGTTGACATTTATTTTTAATCCTTCCCAACCTTGTTGAATTAGAAAAAGTGCTATCTAAACACAAGCAATATGATAACCTGGAATACAAATATAACACCACTTACGGACACAAGTCCTCTGCATGAGCTGATAAAGAGGGATTCCAGGCAAATTTCCGGCCTTTCTTTTCTCTCACTTTATCACTTTCTCAAGGACCACATCATTTTAGAGAAAATCAGTGCTCAAATGCCAAAATCAGGTTGAGGAAAATTGAATGGAAGACTTAAAAGCCACTTTTCCACTGCAGATACAGCTCAGCTTGTTTTGTTTTGGTTTTATTCAGCTGGGTGGGCATTTCCACTGTAGTGACTGTACCGCTTAAAGTGGGTAGAATTATCGCTAGTTTTAAGGATATCTATATGCTAGTGTACTCTAAAACAGACAAAATTTAGGTTTAGAAGATATAAACATTTAAAGCTTGCAGTTTGTCACTTTCGCCTAAATGGTCAACAATGTTTTTAACATTACGTCCACTCTATCTGTTGAGCTGAGGGAACGAAACCAACCCCGTGCCGTCAGACACAGTAATATACCAAGTTAACAGTGCCCTTACACTAAAAGCTATAGTAAAACATGCCCTTTTCTTCCAAATGGTTACATTGATCGACTTTGTTTAATATGTTTTCATTAAAGGGCACCTAGGTTACCCCTTTTTTCAGATTTAATATAAGTCTTTTGCGTCTCTAGAATGTGTATATAAAGTTTCAGATCAAAATACCCATCAGATTTTTCATTATACCTTTTACAAGATGCTGTTTTATACTGACTTCCAGCAGGGGGTGGTTTTGTCGTACTGCGCCTTTAAGACAAGTTTTTCCAGCCTACTGCTTCTACATGCCTCCTCCCTCAGCTGCGTCAGACAACAGACAGACTTAAAGGAAGAAGGTCTCACGTAGCGTTTGTGAGATACTACAGTAAGAACTAACCTTTACTAATCAGTATTGTGAAGTTGCATTGATGAGTCACACACAAAATCGTTACAAAGTAAATGCGCGCGCGCACACACACACACACACCGCAGATGACACACACACACAGGCAGGCAGACAGACAGAGCGCGCTTAGCTTAGTTAAGGCTAACCTCAAGTACTGTGTGGATATCTGTTATGCTAATGTACAAAATAAACCTGATTTAACTTCCACAAACCGGGATTGAAGCGTCTTCTTTTATAATTGTTCTGACACGCGGCTGTGCTGATGAAGTAAAGCTGAAGTAAAACGCTGTAATTAATTACACACATACTCGGTTTTAAAACACTTTAAACATGTGAAACTTACCCTTAATCACATTTGATGATGATTGCTGATCCTAGAGAACAGAACAGACCTTTTATTCCCGGTTGCTTTGCGTATGTCTGTCTGGTCTTGTTGACATATACACGCGACTACCGGAACATGTTAATGCGCGCAGCTGTCAATCAATTCAGTGGGCGGGGGGATCGCACACCTACGTAATGGTGCGATCGATTTGAAAACAGCTCCAATTGGCCGACCCTTTTTTTGTAGTTAAATTGAAAAAAAGGACTGGGTGTGTTCATATCACCCCAGTATGACGGTCTATACACTATACCAACACACAGATCTGTCCAAACAGCTTGAAAAGTAGATTTTTTACCATAGGTGCCCTTTAAAGTGGAAACCAATGTGAAAAAATAATGTAAACTTTGCTGAGTGCTTCACTTCCACTTTAACTCAAAAGACAATCAAATGTGTTCTCCACTACTTGTCAAAGCTGTTGAAAAGCATTTCAACACCAGGTTCACACACCTGTACACTCAAAACATGACATTTACTGTTTGTTCAAACTACTTATTTGAAATAAGCTGAAGCAACCCAATTTTTTAGCTTTTTTGGAACAACTTAATTTTTTTATGTTACTAAGTTAACTTAATTCCTTCATGTTGTCCCAACACAAATCGGTCGTGTGAAACCCAGCATTTTTACAGTGTATTCACCATTGTCTAAGGTGTAAACATTGCCAGAGACAAAACACAGACAAACTTCTGTGCACCTGTCCCTTACATGGATGGCAGCCTATAACGGTCAATAAAACAAGCATAACTGTCAACATTGCACCAACATAAAGTTGTGCTAGAACAAGTCTCCCTCATTCATTCATGGAAAAAAATAATAATCCGAAGGCTGTTTTCATGTTGCTACAACTCCATTTGGCTGCAATGCAAATCTAATGAGATGCTCGGCACGGGCAGATTCAGTGCATCATGCTGCTATTAACCGTCTTAGTCATCATCAGAGCGAGCGACTGGAGTACACATTCCTGCCAAATGAACACCAAGCACCATGTCATGGTATCAACATACCTCTCTCTCACTCACTCTCTCTCTCACACACACACACACACACACACACACACACACACACACACACACACACACACACACACACACACACACACACACACACACACACTCACTCACTCACTCACTCACTCACTCACTCACTCACTCACTCACTCACTGCCTCTACACAAATAATAGTCTTTTCTGTCTGCAAAGAGCCCTGGAGGACTGGAGGCTTTGGGGCAATGCCAAATCCCCATGGTTACTAGAATGCGGCAACTGCCTCTTTCCTGTGATGATGACGATGATGATGCTCATGAGATGAAAAGGAAACAGACCATCCGGCTCTGTTTGCTGGAGAGTGAGCTGGAAGTTTTTTCAGAAAGTTGACCTGCACTCAAGGTGCACACATTTGGCTAGTAATGAGGTACTATGACTCTTCTAATCATTTGAAGTCACTGGATACACCGGAATTTATAATGCAAGAGTTTCTCAACAATGACTCAGAGAAGTGAGTTGGTATAAAACACACATCATCATCATCATCATCATCATCTTTTTCATCTAAATATAGCAGGGGTGCAAGTCATGAGTAAGGCAGTTAACTTGTCTATCTAAATTCTCCTTTCAGGGTTAAAATATGTGAATTTTGTAGAGTTTTCTAGGCTTGGAAACCACTCATTTAAAAATGCCTGTTTTCCACGTCTGTGGGAATTCATTAATGTTACAAAAACAACACAAACTTCATAAAGTCTTATTATCATTTTAGTGTCTAAAGATGAAGATATATATATAAAAACAAAGAATAATAAAATTAAAAAAGAGTATAAAGTTTGCTTAAAGACAGTTTATCCAAAAACAAAAATTCTGACATTTACTCTTCCTTCACATTTTTCAAACAAGTTTCATGTTTTTTTTTTTTTGTATTTTTATTATTTATTTATTTATTTATTGCTGTTGTTCTGTTGAACACAAATTAAGATATTTTAAAAATTGTTATAAACCTATTGACATTCATGTTAAAAAAATACTATGAAAGTCAATGGTCGCAGGTTTCCAACATTCTTTAAATAAATCTTGTGTGTTTAACAGAGGAAAGAATCTCAAAATTATTTTGAACATGTGAACGGAGAGCTAATAATGGCAGGATTTTCATTTTTGGATGAACTATTCCTTTAACTTTCGTTATTATTTCTTAAACATACAGTGATCAGCAAAAATGAGCACACCCCATTTTGAAAATTAATATTTTTCTCTTTATCTCAGTGAATATAGGTAATATATTTCATTGAATTTGATCAAAATAGATTTATTACATTGATATATTTATTAAAATAATATCTTAGTCACTGAATATCTTTAGAAATAGAAAGATAATGCAATAAAATTCATGCAAAATATTGGGGGGAAAAATTACAAACTACAAAATTTCAACAAAACTGTTTACATTTTTTGCATCTCTTGAATTTTGCATTTTTTTTTTTTTTTGCTCTGTTTTTTTCCCAAACATAAATTTGTGTGTACTCATTTTAGACCGCTATCATGCAATATTTTGTTAGATAAGCTCCAGATTTGGCTTCAGTACGGACTAATGTATATGCACAAATGTAATATTGCAAAGCTTCCTATAGATGATATTCACTTAAATGAGAGATTTGTAAATGGTGTACTCATATATGCTGAGCAATGTAGCTGCAATTTTACTTTTAAAATTATTAAAAGTCCAAGTGGCATAATCCTGATGCAAAAAGTCACTTTGTTGTCATAAGCATAACCATTTTATTTTCTGCAAAATGTAATGTTTTGTCAAGACTGCCTCTAAATATGTCAAAATTTGGAGTCAAAAATCTAGTTTAAAAAAAATAATCAAGTTTGTACTAGACATCATGCCACTTGACATTATACAGACATTAGATCAACTTATTTTTAAAAAATAATTCAGGAAAGGTTTCTAACAACTTGACAAACTATATAAAAACCTGTTTTCTTCAAAATCTCAATCTTATCACTGACACAAGAATCCACCAATCATGTTGTTTTTAAAACCCAAAGTCTTCAAAAAATTTTCAGTCTGTGCATAAAAGCATCATCATCACGATGCAGAAGTGACCTGCTTAATGATTAAATACTGCATGAACCAATCCTTCAACTACTCCAGCAGTTAGCTCCTTACCTTTGACTTGAGTCTCGTACTCTACAATGATCTCTTTATCCTTTTTGAACTTCACAGGAGGATTCGACATTTTCAACATCGAATAGAGGAAAGATCAACAATTCAGTTATGAGAGTGTTTACAAACTGGCGTATTTGAGGAGGGGGGTCTCACTACAGCGGCCAGCGCATCCCAGAGAATCTTCTTCAAGTTGATCAGGGCAGAAAAATCCCCAAAAACCAAACGCAAATGAATCCCGGTTGTAATTCCGCCGTGAACGCGATCAAAACAGAGCGCGCACGGGAAGAGTTTCCTCCCAAACAAGTAACCCTTTCCTTGGGCAATCGACCACGGCTAGTTCCAGCAAGAGGAAAATCCAACCCTAGGAGCTGCTTTTTAGTCACCCGCCGACGGATTCCGGCAGCATTATGGCATGTTACTCTGAACTGGCGTGATTTTCAGCAGCTTTTCCTCGCGTCTAGTCGCCGGACAGTTTCACGGTTCTGACTGACCTCAAAGCAGCTGGAAAAGCAAGTGGTTGGAAATGGGAGGGATTGGAGGTGGAGGGGCGCACGTAGCGGAAACGTGGACGGGATTGACAACTTTCCTAACCAGTTGTCTGTCCCTCAAAGTCATTTTCGAGGCGTCTTTACACGGCTAGCGATTCAAAAGTAGAGCATTTGGGATTTTAGTGAACAAAAGCAAACTAGTTTAAAAACTTTAAGTAAAGTGTATTTATTTTGAGTTTGTTTTGAACGCTCCTAGTTCATTATAATCGAAAAACAAACTATATGACTTCATAATAAAGTTTTAAATTAAAAAGAGTGAATATTTTTAAGTTTTAAACTAGTTTTAGCAACTCATCTGTGTGTTGTGTAGGACGCCTGGTGGTCAGTATGTGGAGTTACATGAAAAATAAATCATTGCAATTATTTTTTTGGGTGGCACAGTGGCTAGCACTGTCGCCTCACTGTAAGAAGGTCGCTGGTTTGAGTCCAGGCTGAGTCACTTAGCATTTCTCTGTGGCGTTTGCATGTTCTTCCCGTGTTTGTTTCCTCTGGGTGCTCCAAATTCCCACTGTCCAAAGACATGTGCTATAGGCAGGGGTGGACTTGGTGATTTGGGGGCCCTAAGCAATTCCAGGTATGCAGCTCTAGCATTAAAACTCAAAACACTCTCTTTCTCTGTAGATATATTTTCTCTATAGATGGTTTTACTTTGTAAATAAACTGCATGTTAAAAACATTTTAAGTGGAACCTTAATGTAATATTAAATACAATGAATTTGCAAATAAATAAACAAGCTCACAAACCATGTACAGTTAATAAGCCATACTTAAGATTACATTTTAATATTTGCATGTGCAGTAAGGGAAGAAACGTTCCACTGGTCATGAGGGCCCCGTTTAAAAAAAAAAAAGACAATAATGTTGAAATCCTAATGGTTAGACAGATTTTAAAACAAATGATTTGAGCAATTATAAAAGAGCTATAGGATGGTTAATATAGGCTTCTTGGCATTGGTCGAGGCCCCCTATTTCTCCGGGGCCCTAAGCAGCTGCTTACCTTGCTCATTGGTTAAGTCCGCCTCTGGCTATAGGTGAATTGCATAAACTAAATTGGTGTGAATGAGTAGAGATAGAATTACACTTAATGCATTTCTGACATTTTACCGCATTTTTAAAGGGCGCTCAAATCCAAAAATAGTCTCTATATGTTCAATAAAAAAGAAATACATAAAAAAGCGTGACAACATTTTGTCCATAAAGTTTATATTTGGTGCATGTGTTTTGATGATATCAGGGTTTCTGCAGGTTTCATCAAGTCAGATTTAAGACTTTTTAAGACCTTTTGAGACCATTATGAATGAAATTTTAGACTTATACAGGGCTAAACACTAAGGATTTTTTTGTAATGACCCGGTTGGGCCAATGGAATTTGAAAAAAAAAACAAATGTAATTTTTTTTAAATCACATAATATTGTATAACATTACAAGAAAGTTGTATATACTTTTTTCACCATAATGTTTTTTTTAATATATATAAATTTAATATTCTTAAAATATTTATTGTAAAGAATAACATAATAATAATAATAATAATAAAATTATATATATGTGTGTGTGTGTGTGTGTGTGTGTGTGTGTGTGTGTGTGTGTGTGTGTGTGTGTGTGTGTTTGTGGTCCAAATAAATTGAATAGAACTGTTATAAAACCTTACATTTCTTGCCCATTTACAAATATTATGTCCACCTACCCACACTTCAGTAAGTAGTTTGTGTAAATGGAAGATTATGTAAAGGGATTTGTTGTTGTTGTTGTTATCATGAGAAATGGTGTAATTGTTTTTAATTTTCTTTTCCTGGTTAGGGAATTTAATAAAGGGAATGTGCTGTAAAAACGTCTAACAGCTGTTGTGAATTGGATCTCTTTGCAATAAAAGACTGAAATACATATAAATAAAAATATATATATAATTTATTGAATGGATAGCCGTCGGCCCGATTAGTTAACTTTACTTGGAGAACCTTAAAATTAAGACCTGTTTAAAATGATTTAAGACCTACAACACACTATTTCTGTGAAACTGAAGGCATTTTAAGTCTTTTTAAGATCCCGTATGATATGCTGGATAAGTTGGTGGCCCGTTCCGCTGTGGCGACCCCTGATGAATAAAGGGACTGAAGAAATTGAAGAAAAATGAATGTTATCTCTGCAAAAAGGATATTATTGTTACGCAGCGCCTCTTACAGGACAGCTGTTTTATTGCAAGACCTTATATGAATTTCTTATAAACAGTTTTAAAAGGTTAAGAGCATCATTTTTGCAACAAAAAAATCTTTTACAATTTTTGGAAATGATTCAGCATGCTTTCGTCTTTTATTTGTGCTACCTTTACTAAAACAATAATTAATTTGTAGGTTTTTTTAAATCATCATTAAAGTAAAGAGGTAGAACATATACAATAACATACACAAAGACAAATGATACAAATGAAAAACTGCACAGAAATGTACACAAAAATAAAAATAATAAGATAAAGCTTTACCTTAAAGAGACACAAAGGAAGAATATAAAGATACAGTTTTCGTTGCTTTTGGATTAAAAAGGGTGCTGGATAGTTTCCAATTATTGCTGTAGGTCAATTTTAAATGAATCAAAAAAGATTTAGAACCACCAAACTTTTGTTTGCTAATATGAAACTTGGCTAATAGAATACATAAATAATTATATGCTTATATTCTTTAGAATCGTCAAACAACCCAAAGAAAACATCTTTAAAAGAAAAGGAAAAGTCGCTCATAATATAAGAATGAATAAACATCAACAGATCTGACCAGAATCTCAGCCAGGAGCACTGCCAGAACAAATATACAATCCGAAGAGGGATAAAAGGAGCAGCTCACATCAATGTCAGACTTGTATTTCTGAAGACGAGTCTTAGTAGGATAACATTTGTGAATTCATTTATTTGTTACTTCTTTTACTTTATTAGTAATCATATGCTGTACTTGTGAAGCAAAGTCTATAATTTCTCCCATGAAATATTTTCAACAGTGTTGTTTCAATAAGATAATACATTTATATATAGTTTTACAAATGCAAAGTCAGACTTTTAATTTGTAAAAACAGATTATTGATCGATTAAGACATATAAATACAATATAATTATTTAAATTACAAAATGTAACCTTTTGAAGCCCCTATTGTCCACAGTATTACTCAAAGTCATTAAGCTTCACATTGACATTTTATAATGTATGCTTTATCTGAACGTCGCCACTGTCTTTGCAACTGAAAATGTAGATTTATATTTAAATATTTTATATTGAAGTACATATCAGAACCCCTTCAGCACTGTGTTCGTAGTCTAAATGCTTGATAATTTAAAATCAGGCAAGGTTAAGAATACAAACAGGTTAAAAGTTATTTAATTGCATTAAGCTGAATCAAAAAAAAAAAAAAACATTCAAGTGAGAAAAATGAAATGTAAAAGCCCAATTAAGCTGCCATTATTATTATTATTATTATTATTCATTGAAACGTGAAGACTTAATAAATAAAAATGTACAGTAAACATGGAAGGCGTTAATGTACTGCACAGTAGAGTATGGTAAACCAGGTTATATTAAAACATACAGTAGCATCTCATTGTTTCACAAGTAAAACATCAAGGTAAACAAACCTAATATGTCTAAAATTAAGTGACAATCTAAATGTTGATGCACAGCATCTGCTCACCATCTTTTTAATCTATTATATATTAAAAGAATAGTACCATATAATATAATAGTACCACCATAATTTACTCACCCTCATGTCATTTAAAACCCAATGCTTTTCTCTGTTTTTAAAGTGAGTTCACCCAAATATACTCACTCTCAGCTCATAATCCAAAAATAAGTGAACACTCTCAGGACACTTTGTTGAAGCTGCAGATTAAAGGAAATAATTGTGGAAATAATTTTTTGTTTCATAAGAGCTCAAAGTATCGTCAAGAACCACAAGTATTAATTTTGGTTTGCCTGGATACATTTCTTTACTCACTAAATGGCAGTAGTCATTAGCTGTTTCCATCAACCTATTTTTATTCACATTTTGCATATCCGCGTAAAAAAAAAAACGGGTGATGGTAATGCCAAGATACGCATAAAATTTGAAAATGCGCATAAAAACATCTGCGCATAACTGAGTAGGATAAACTTTTTATTTGATAAGAGGAGCATGAACTGCGATGGAAACCGAACAAATTCCAGTATGTGCATAAAAAGGTCATGTGGTTTTGTTACAAGACATCATGTGGTGATAAAAATGTGTGTGAATGGACAAACCAGCAGGCTGAGCAAATTGTAAACCATCTGAAATGTGGCTTTGGTCATTGTAAAATGCATGCAGTAACCATTTTAGTATTAGTGAAGTTATATATTCGTAATGGGGCGAGGCAGTCGGGCAGTAGGTAGTGCTGTCGCCTCACAGCAAGAAGGTCGCTGGTTCGAACCTCGGCTCAGTTGGCGTTTGTGTGTGGAGTTTGCATGTTCTCCCTGCCTTCGCGTGGGTTTCCTCCGGGTGCTCTGGTTTCACCCACAGTCCAAAGACATGCGGTACAGGTGAATTGGGTAGGCTAAATTGCCCGTAGTGTATGAGTGTGTGTGTTTGAATGTTTCCCAGAGATGGGTTGCGGCTGGAAGGGCATCCGCTGCGTAAAAACTTGCTGGATAAGTTGGCGGTTCATTCCGCTGTGGCGACCCCGGATTAATAAAGGTACTAAGCCGACAAAAAAATGAATGAATGAATATTCATAATGACCTCCAGGACTGTAAAGAGCATCTGTTGATTGCTTGTCGTCTTCTTTGAGGTGAAAGTCATTTATTAAATAAGGAAAAGATTCACGCAGCTTTTCCTACCTCACCAAATTCTGATTTTACTGTTGATATTTGGTGGCAGTTAATTAGGAAATGACGATTTTGTTCTCTTTGAAACGTTGGATGGAAATGCAGTTTTATACGCACATCTTTTATGCGATGATCTAGTTTTGCGCATAAATTTAATTCACATTTTTGGATGGAAACATAGCTATTGACTAGCATTTATGAATCACAGTTTCACCTAAAAATATACTTTCATGGACTACACTGTAAAATGTTTTAAATGTAAACTATTACTTCAACTTGTTGCACCTAAAATAATTAAATTAAAATGAAAAATAATGAATAAATAAATAATAATTAAAATGAACGCTATTTTTGAAAATAGGCAACTTGCCTAGAGTCAAATAGTTGAGTTTGATATTGTTAAATGCATTCAGCCAATCTTTGGGTCTGGCAGAAGCACTTTTAGCTTAGCTTAGCATAGATCATTAAATCAGATTAGACCGTTAGCATCTCACTCAAACATAAACAAATAGTTTTGATCATTTTCCTATTTAAAAGGAGGACACTTTTGTAGCTACATTGTGTGCTAAATTAAAATGAAAAGTTTATTTTTTCTATGCTGATATAGCGAAGAACTATACTCTCATTAAAGTGTAATAATCAAGGAACTGTACTATTGTACCGTGGCAGCAGAAGCACAATGATTTTATGAAACACCCTAAAAATTGGCTAACTAATAGAACTAACTTGACTTTCGAGCACTCTTTATTCCATTTTGAGCAAGATGCTAATGGTCTAATCTGATTCAATGACCTATGCCAAGCTAAGCTAAGCTAAAAGTGCTCCCAAGAGACCAGGGGATCGGCTGAATGGATTTTAAAAGATTTAGTTTGCCTTTATTTCATTATGGTTTTCAGTAATTAAGTTGAAAACACTTTACTGTTTTAAGTGTAACAACTTTCAATGGTTCATTTTTAGTGTACTTAAGGAATAAAGATGCTATAAAAAAATTGTTGCTACTTTAAATGTTTACATTGAATCAAATTTACATTACTATTAATCAACTGACTTCAAACATCTATTTAAATCCCTCATAACTTAAAAAAATTAAGTTGTAACCAACACAAAAACGTTGTCATGACTCACACAAGATTTACCTTAACATTTCAAGTAAATTTAATCAAATGCAAGTATGAAATCCATTGATCTTGCTGGCTTGAGGATGAGTAAATTAAAACAAACTCATCATTTTCATCTGAACTACCCCTTTAACGTTCTCCCACCTCTTCCTATGTGATTTTGAAGAAGTTCTCCTCCAAAACCTCAGTGAATCTGTCTTTCATCTGCTGCCGGAAGCTGCTGTACCACTCTAGCAATCTCATCCTCCTCTCTGTTTTCTCCTTCTGGCTCATTGCTCTCTCTCTTTCCAGGATAACCGGCAGCTCTTTCCAGTCTTTAAGGAAGATGAAGGGAGCTCCAGCATCTTTAAGCAGCCGCAGTGGGGACCGGTTCCCAACAGCGCAGGCTCCCGGAGTCAGGACGTCCTCCACCACGGGCACAGAGCCATACGCACAGGCTTCATAGATGCGGTAGCATTCGCTGTTCACTCCCACCGGGCAAAGAGTCAGGTCACTCTGAGCTAATGCCATCTGGTACTGTCTGGAGGTGTCGGACGTCTCTTGAGGAAGCCACCTGATCACAAGAAATTTCTAAATCATTTTCTGTGGATTCAGCAATGTTTGGGATATTATTTGATTAAGAATTTAAAACCTTTCTGACCCTAAACTATTGAATAGTCCAGTAGAAAATAAGTAGTAAGTTTAGTTTTATCAAGTTTAATTTGCAACTTTACATGTATGGAGAAATGTGCAACTTTCAATTTAAAATCAAGTGTCTGAAATACTAGACGTTACTTCCACAAACACATACTTCTCTCTAGCATGCATGAGGCAGTCTTTCTCCATGTTGTTCTGCTTTAGGAGGTTCATCAGAGATTCCCTGGAGGAGTTTTTGTAGATAGTGCCAAGAAAGTTGCACAGGTATGGCCTGTCCTTTTTCACCATCTGACTGCTAAGTGTGACTACTGGGAAATGCCTGTATCTGCAGAGAAAGCACATTGTAAATCATTAAAATAACAGATTTAAAATGAAATCAAACCTAACCATATTGATTTAGTTAGCACACATTGCTAGTTTTGTGGAACAATTTATTTGTGCATGTCATTCAAAAAAAAAATCTAAATTAGTTTGGCCTTGTAATCTGCATCTGAAAATGCACTTCCTGATTGTTTTCAGTTAAATTCTCAGAAGCTAACATGTTTAACCACGCCCCTCCAACTGTCAGTTTTGACAACAGACAGAAATGGTGAGAAGGTTAGGTTGTAATAACTCTCCCGAAAACCCTTTTCCTCATCTTTCTGAATGAAATGCCTACTTACTACATCCAATAAGCTCACAGTAGAAAAAACAAGCCACGCCCACCATTTTCTCATTTAATATTCAGAATCTCCACAAACTTTCACGATATAAAAAAAATGGTCGAAGCATCTGGCTCATGCAGGCTTTAACTACATGTCAAGTCCAAAGTTTGGAATCAGTAAGATTTTTTAAGCCTATTTTGCCCAACCAAGCCTGCATTTCTTTAAACAAAAAAAACAGAAGAAAAAAAAAAAACTTTCAAAATTGTGAAATATATTACAATTGAATTGAGTTCAGATGCAAAAATCTAAGTGCCACCTGAAATTTTCTTCTAAAGTGAACAATTATTCTCAGGCTCCTGTGTGTAGTTTCAGTAATTTCACTTTTATGGCAGAATCGGATTTTGGCATTGCCTTTAAAATGAAATAAACACAGGAGTTTGAAAAAAAAGAAGATAATTTTAGAAGAAAATAAAACAAAATAAAATATATGAAAATAACAGAAGCAATAAAATGGTAACATAAATATTATCAATAACTAAACATACATGGGCCAGAAAAGGTTAAGTCTTCGATATTCACTCAACTTTAGTTATTATAAGCTGTAAATTTCTAATCTAAAGAGAGGATTAAGATGTGAAGTGCAATGGATCATAAATTGAAAAATGTTTGTTCTGTGGATGGGAATTAGGTATTAATTTTTTTATATTTCTACGAAGATTGGATGGAACAATGTAATGTATTCAGCCCACTTGGACCAGGGTAATTTGGAGTTGAAGAGACAATGTAATTTTTTCATCACAAAAATATCATATACTATTTCTGGCCATTCTTAGGTTGTTGGGGCTTCAGAAAGAATCCAGTGTCTTGTAATTGATTTTTTGGCTACGGATATTAAAATATCAATAAAGTATTTTTCAGATTTACTTATTTTGATATCAGAGCTTCAAAAAAATAACCATAAATTGAAAGGGTGGTGTTATATTAAGGAAGTTTTCAATTACTCCATGCACTTCTGTTCTAACCCATAATGAGTCTTATAGACAAAATAATATTTTTTTTTAAGGAAGTTCAAAATTGATTTTTTTTAATTCATTCAAAACAGGGATTATTGATTCGAAGAATTTAACGTGTCCATGATGAATAAAAATAAATACTTTTTTGAATGGCACTGCATTGCAGTTTCAACAAAAAATATAAAAGCAACAATTTTCAGCACTGATAAAAATCAGAAAAGCTTCTACAGGAAAAAAAAAAGTTTTTAAATCAAAAAATTATTGAAAATAAAAACTGGAGTAAATGATATACTCAATAAGAAAAAGTTATTTTAAATTGACCCTTCACTAAGCCCCGCCTATTTAGTTACTGTTGCTATGCCGGTCAAGCTTTCGTGCCTGACACGTCAATTACAATGTGTATGCGCTGGTGTCAGACATTGCCAGGGAAATAATTAGTCATTTTTGGCGAACAGTTGACATAACCGAGAAAAGCCAGACAACAAAACACTGCAGTATGCGTTACAGGGGTATATTCATAACATAATACGCAACCGATTAGGAAATAACTTAACCAAAATTTAAGCTAGGTTAGCCTAGCTGCCTCATACGCTGACCATTCAACAGCTTAGTTCATGCACAGCAGGAGAGGTCAAATTTAAAAATAATTTAATAATAACTAATTAAACCGTGATTTCTCTTTTTTAGCCAAAAACCCCGATAGACTATTGTTGTGCAACAAAATATAGTGTTAATAACCGACAAGGAAACACGCATAGACAGTGCTTCTACATAATTAATTCATAGAAAGAACAACCAGAAAGGGGAAATTGATGGATTTGTGCCAAATATCAGCATCATTGACCCATAACAATTTACAATACCTATAACTGTCAGTGTGTTTGTGTGCGCTTCATACAGTTTCTATTCTAATTTGCTGTTAAGTGGAAAACAATACAAATCACAGTATAAATAGAGAAGTGAATAAATTTTCCCAACCAGCAAATATTAATCAGACACCAAATATAAAAGTAGGCACTAACCTGCTATAATGACTTAATCGCTAAACAACGGACGAAAACATCAATAAACTGTAGCTCTAACATGGACATGAGGGATATAAATTACTGAAAAATAGCTGCGGGTGAAGTATATTGATCGCAAGTGCTCACTTTGTGATCAATCTCTAGCAATCTTGTGATCAATCTCTAGATCTTGGTTTTGTTCTGTCGAGATTTAATTTCAAATATTCGTAGCTTGAAACAGATGGAAAAATGATTGCTATTAGTATGACTACTATGGCGAGGACTAACGGAGCAGTGCTAATAATAGAGCAAAAAAAAAAGAATTAAACAGCTGCGAAACAAAACCTGCTTTGTATTTTTGTATGAAACACAGTTTAGATCTTTTTAGGGTAAGAGATGTGTGAGTTATTGCCGTCTATCACTGAATGTGTCAGGAATATCGAAAACAAAACCAACTTATCTCCAATCTTTTAGTGCCCCTCATACAGCTTGATCCACGCTGGCATTTCTCCCTTTAGATTTTAGGTTTTAAAAAGAGAAAAAAAATGTCATCACCCTGTCCAAACGTTTAGGATACCAGGTATAAGATTTACACAATCCATATGCACAACGCTTTGGCTTGCTTCCCTCACTCGAAAGCTTGACAGAGCTCCTGCGCATAGCTACGGTTGTTAAGCCACGATTGGTGTGTGGGGGTTTTCAGGTGTGGCTTAGCAAAGGGTCAATTGCAATATTTTTATTTTTTTAAAACGTTACTGCGTGTTTGATCAAATAAATGCAGCTCTAGGGAGTATAAAAATAAAGAAATAAATTAAATAATTAATTAATTAATAAATAAAATAAATAATGCTTACGTGGCAACACCCAGAGGCCACTGGAAGATGTCTTTATCATTGACCCAAGGACTGTCGTACACCAGAAAGAGCAGGTCCACAAACCCACCATTTCTCTTCAGATAAGGACTGATCCAGTTGTTATTGCACTGCTCGTTGCCCAATAGGACGACAGCGACCCGAGAGATGGTGCGGGCCTGAATCAGACTCTGGACGTGCTGCAGCCACTGGACAGAGTAGGAGATCTTCTGCTGCTCGCGGCCGTTCAAAACCAACACCACACTGTCTGTGTCAGGAGGAACATGCCCTTGGACCACTGCGGGACCAGTGTAGAAACTGAGGACAGAGGTGGTTCAAGATTGAGGTAAAGTTAGATTTATATTCGCACATTCGTTTAGTGACAACTATATTATTTATCACACTACGTTGAATGTTTGGTCAGAAATCGCATGCAAGTATGATCTCAAAACAACATTAGCACTATTTAATTGGCTGTGAACAATGTTGTACTTTGATAGTCATTGGCTGCTAATATGATTTCCCATATTAAGAATTTGCAAATAATACTTCTGAACTGATATTTTTAAGCAGGAAGTCTGGTTGTGCGCATAGAAAAGCAACTTTACCTCTGTTGATTAAAGAGATATTGGTTTCCAGTGGTTTTAGAGAATGTAAAAATAATTTGTTTATTTTAATTAAGAGCACTGTCATACATTTTAGACCACAGAAAAAAGGTTTTACAAAATGCGAAAATGACCACAAGTATTTAATTACAAACCTTAATAAAAGGTCAAATGACATTTAGGTGAATTACAGAAAAGTGTATATGTCTACATGCCTAAATGCATCGAGTTGCTGCCATGTGATTGGAAATTTGAAAAGAATCTTCTGATGGCTACTTTCAGCAGGACAAGCCATGTCATGTCAATTGTGAATCATCAAAGTCTGGTTTACTCAAATGGCCTCCACAGTCAACAGATCTCAATCAAGTAGAGCCCCTTTGGGACGTGGTGGAACGGAAGATTCACATCATGAATGTGCAGCCAACAAATTTGCAGCAACTGCGTGATGCTATCATGTCAATATGGACCAAAATCTCTGAGGAATGTTTCCAGTACCTTGTTGAATCCATGCCATGAAGGATTAAGGCAATTCTGAAGGCAAAAGGGGTCCAACCGAGTACCAATAAGATGTACCTAATAAAGTTGCCGGTGAGTGTAGATTAATTTATTTCTTGTTAGATAATAAATAATATATAGTTGCATAATGTATACATAGAAAGGAAGGTATTTATTTATTAAATAGAATCTCAAATCTGATACAGCTTCATTACTGTACTACATCACCAAGGGGCAGATTTAACCAATAAGCAAGGTAAGCTGCCGCTTAGGGCCCCAGGAAATATAAGCGCCCCCAAATAAATACCTACAAGTTATATATAGACGTATATATATATA